AAGGTCAGAGAACCTTAGGGGACTCTCAAGGGTTTGGGCTGTGATGGGATCACAGATCATTTGTAGCTAGAGCCTTGCAGGCTGTTGGACACAGTGTGTGCCAAACAAAGTGTTTTAAAACTGGACAGCATCATTCCAACAGATCGTGCTATTAAATATTTTTCAGCGGGTAACTGGCTTCCATGCTATGGAGTGCACAGGTCTTAGTTCTGAATCATCTCTTTGGAGGCCAAGTGTCTGTGTGCCTCACCCTGAAGGGCCGAGCTTGGCAAGGGAGGGCTCCTGAGGCTGAGTCAAGCCACCTGTCAGAGCTGACGAGGGAGACATCACACTGCATGTCTGTTCCCACCTCCCTGACCGCCCCACCTCCACTGCCGACCCTGCCCCACCCTCTGGAGCACAAATCTTCAAGGATGAACCAGATGCTTGACATCTCCTGTCAAGCCCTTAGGTTCTGAAATGTCACCTGTGCTGCTTGTCTCAGTGTGAGAAGATTTAGGCCCCTTTTTCTGCACACTCCTTCCAGCCTCCTCTGTGGGCCTTTGTATGTGGGCCTCGCCTCCTGCCTTTCGTGACCCCCAGCTCACTCCCCTTTATTTTGGATACCAGTTTCTGCCCTCCTTTCTCTCTACCATTCCCTTTCCTAGATTCCCTCTCCTTTGCCCATCTTCACACGTGTTTCCACTTGATGGTTAACTTGCCTCTTCATGTAGAAACAAGTCCCCGCACTGGCGTGATTTCCCCATGGAAGACCCCCGGGCGTCGGAACCCTTGCTGGGAGCAGCACCGAGAAGGGGTGGAGAGACCGAGAGCGCAGAGCCTTCCTCGCAGGAGAGGCTGGTGTCACTGACCTTCCCTTCGTCGTCCTCCACCAAGATCTTGCCTGGCTTTGTTTCTCTGATGATTGCCCCAATAGCCACAGCGATCTCCCTGTCAGAGGCAGGGTCCAGCCACACATGGTCCCCCTGGAAAACGGAGAAAAGAGGGTGCTCTGATGCCTGGTCCACCCTTCCATTTTGTCCCACCTTTCCCTTCTCCTGGAGACGGCCTTCCTGCCCAAGAGCTGCCAGGGTAGCTGGTGCTCAACCTTGCTCTTGTGATCCTACTTTCCATGTGTGTAAGTCGCCTGCATTGCTCCCTGGGCAAGTCGCAGGTGTCACCATGCACAGGTCTGTCTCCGTATCTGTACCTCAGCTTGGGGAGTAAGCTGATCCCAGGCCTTGCCTTACAACTCCCAGGATTTCCTACAGCATCTGTCACAAAGACAAACTCGCCCCTGTTGCTGACAGCAGGAAAGCAGAACGGGCTGGCGAACCACAGGCTTCTCCGTTTTAGGGTGCACACGAATCACCTGCAGAATCTTGTTAAGGTTCAGGTTCTGTGATTTCCTTCCCCA